ACACTGTTTCTGGGCTAGCGCTTCAGCATGGATGACAGGAATTGAATTGCGATTCGCCCGAGACTGACAGACTTGAATTCTGACAGACAGATTTTGAGTTGTGACTGACCCTAGATAGCACAAACTATAAATAGACTCAGCGCAAAACTCAAATTCACAGTATCACTACTTTTTCTACACAGAATTCACAGGATGATCACACAGGGTGCAGCGCAATACTGTCATACAGTCCCAGAACAAATTTGAGTCAGAACAGGTCAGTAGGTGATGAGATATGAGTCAGGGTAGGGCGGGAGAAGATGGCTATGGCTGTCTTGCAGTCTGACAATTTCGCGATTGTGACTCTACTGACAGACAGACCATCAATTCTATTTTTACTGATACTAATCTAATCGCTACTCCGGGATTCACATGGAACACACTCACTTGAAGTATTTCACTCAGTGGTTGCTGAAGCTCTGGCTATGGTTGCCAGACCCTGGTCTCGCCAGTATTTGCAGACACTCTTCCACAGCTTCCCACGCATAGAATCTCCTGAAACTTGTTGATCCTGTCCAGTAGGATGTGGCGATTAACCCCCAACTCTCAGATTCACTGGATTTGCCTCCGTGGCGAGAGAAAACTCTCCTGAAGATATCTCGTCACTGTAGGGGTAAGCCGTTGGTGCTAAATTTAGCCCTGAATAGGGTTAATTTAGCAAGAGGTGATCCTGCGATCGATCCTCCCTCAGCGCTATACTGGGATTAAAACCGCCACCCAGTTATTACTGGATTAGGGTATAATTCGCCACCCTGATCCCAGTCATCAACTGAGGTCAGAAGGGTGGATGGCGAATTACCCCTATTCGCGCCACTTCCTGCCAGGCACACAGACAGGCTCAGTGTGCCTGATCAATCGCGCACTGATACTCTGCAATCACCGCTTGTATATCTTCTCCTCCACTGGATCTTTACTGAAGATGAAGAGCCACCATGGCACCTCTCGCCAGTTAGGGCCAGAAGGAGAAGTTGCCCCTGTTGCGCTCAACCCTCTGAGCTCCAAGTCCAATCTCCGCTCCGATACCAACTGTTATGAACTTGGTTGTCTGACAATTTGTTTGCCACTCACGCACAGAAGAACTCACACACGCCCATACATGCATGAGACAAAGGGGAGGAGGAGACAAAGTCCAATTGCACACAGACCAGAGATAAGCAGCGGAATAGCAATTATGCACAGAAGGGGAGAATACACACAGTGTTTCTCTCTCTCTGACGAACTCCCAACAACCAATCACAATATGACCCTGCGAAGATCACAATTGGAAAGTAACCCAGATGATGAGCCAACTCAACACAATTAACCTCAATTATCGTTTCAGAGTTCAACCCAGTATCTCGCCACCCCAGTACCACGCACTCCACTCACTACTCCACTCTCAGAGCCTAGCGCTGTACTGAAACAGCCTCCCAGAGGCCAGCGCCATACACCCAGAGGAAGATCATGAACAGCGATGTAGTCCCCAGTGCCGACGAGTCACTCTGACGATGAAGAAGGCAGCTATGGCTGCCAGGCTGCTACCGCAGCAGTAGTACCCACATGTACTCAGCGAAGAGTCTCCGTATAGTCCTGCCAAGCGCAGATATCCCCAGGGGATAGATGCGCTGAGCACAGCCCCAGCTATGGYTGTCTYAGGTAGGCCGGCTATGGCTGCCTCACGCTGCTGAAGTCCCAGGTGCCGCTGTGGACTTTCARCGCTGCAAAACTTCGTTGGCCACGAACGCTGCACGCGAAAAATGAAGAGCCAAAAGTCCCCTAMCAATTTTCCTACCGGACTTATAGATTGCCTACTCTAGCCTAGACCTAGACCRGACTGACTGACTGACCGGTACCGYTGCTGTTTCGGCCTCTCGGCCTCTACCGTACCYGGCTATAGGCTATAGGACCGTATAGCAGTATAGGCCACTTAGGGCCTGTCTGTYCTAGGGGTAGCCCGGGCCTGCTATAGGCAGTTAGGGTAGCTGTAGGAATTCGGTTAGTRCCGGGCCTGTATTTTCCCGGATTTGCAGATCTGTCCCTCACGAATTTCCTCACAGACGGATCTCTCGGTTAGCCCTCAGCCAAACAAAATTACAAAAATAACCCTACCGGTTAGTGTACAGCCGCTCAGTCAATCTCGGCAGCAGAAATCAGCAAGTCATTGCAGTAGGGTCCCAGAGTGTGTCAGAATGAGCCTCAGTCCTACAGAATATGGTCTAGTATGTGTCTCAGTCAGAGTCCTTTGGAATAAAGACCCGTGCAGATGCAAAGGATGAGGTAGAATCTGCGGTGCAAAGTCTAAGGGTTGTGGGTTTTGACCTAGCAAAGTTCAGGGGTCAACACTTGGTCCCCTACAGACTCTGATAAGTCTTTAGAACCGGTCTGAAATCCGCACAGACATGGCCAGGGGGTCGCAACCTCTGGGCAGGTCACCGTTGTAGTGTCCAAAAGTCACTTTCCAGACTCTGAACAGGCATCAGAATGTCCCTTGGCGAATAGGTACGGTGTCAACGGTCAAAATGAGGCACCGCATGCCTCTGGAGTCACAAGTAGACTCTTTGTAAAGTCAAAAGTCAAGCCCTTTTTTTTCCGTCCGAAAAGAGAACCTCAAGGTTCTGGCTCCAGATCCACTCTGCGGAGCATCCGTCCGATGCATTATCCACCGGCAAGCGGGGTTGCATACCTGCCGACCGTTTTGCAGCCGACCAGTAGGGCCGACAGGTCGGCGGTCTGCCGACCAGTCAGAAAACAGCCATCGACTGATTTTTTTCAAATCGGAGTCGGGGGCTGTAGTACGCTTACTGAGTACAGCCCGAATCCATTGAGAAACTTTTGGGGATGGGAGGGAGTTATGGGGGGGTTGGGGGGTTG